GAATGCCACATCTATCTTCCCTAGAGGAGCTGGTAACCTAACCACCAACCTTTAGGTTAGCAGTTGAGTGTTTAACCACTGTGCCACCAGGGCTCTACCCAATGCCCTGTCAATTATCAGTTTTTCCACTAGCTAGTAGGAATAGGAACTATCTGTGGACTTGAGTGAGGTGTAAAGATTACTTCCTCTAATAGAATCTGTTTTGGATGATTCTTCTTTGCTCTCAGTTTCCTCACATAGATAAGCTGATCTGTACTCAAATGAAGACTCCAGGGAACCATCCACAGATCTTTGTAGTTCTCTCTGTGCAGCTCTCTCCTTAACAGTCTTCTGCCTGCTAACTCTGGCTGCCTTGGCCTTTCCAGTCTGCCAGATCCAACCCTTCACCTCAGGAGGACAGCTGCCAGGCTCTGTCCTCTCTTTACATCATGCTCTGCAGTATCTCTTCAGAGAATAAGCTAGGGTAGTCCTTGAACCAACTCCATTTGTTTCCCCTCTCCCAGTAATCACTGTCCTTTGTTGCTTGATCGCCAGTACTCTGAAAACTGTTTTTTCATCTATATTGTCTGTTTTTTTAGTTGTTTCAAGGAGAATAAATCCAGCCCCTGTCAGTATCTCCATTTACAAGGTGGAAAGCAGGATCTGAAAGGGTAAGTTACCTTTCCAAGTTAAACTGTGACTCTTAAATTAGTGGAGCCAGAATCTAGGCATTTTGAGTCAAAGCCTTGTACGTTTTCCACCACATCATATTACCATTTTTTTTGCAAAATTTCCCCATGTAATTGAATCTTACTCCCTTAAGCCTTATGGCTTAATTTAAGTCATTTTTGCTGGAAATTTTTTACAAAGGGGGTTAAGTACCCCTTAATTTTTAAACCCTTTCATTATAAACATTACTTATTATGATTTGCTACAGTGGTTCTCCAAGTAGCCAAAAAGTTGGTAGTTCAAACCTACCCAGCAGCACTGCAGGAGGCAGTCCTGTTGATTTGCTTCCAAAAGGCCACACAGCCTTACAAACCCTGTTTAGCAGGTCTACTCTGCACACATGGTATCGCTATGAGTCAGAATCGACTTGATGGCAGCAAACAGCAACAGAAGTAACAAATGATTTCCAATCCTGTCTGACCCAAAAAATCTCCTATTTTATAAAATATTTTCAATGCCCCTTGTATTCTGATGAATCCCTAGATGGCGCAAGTGGTTCATGCTCCACTGTTAACTGAAAGGTTGAAGGGACTAGTTAGTTCACAGGGGCATCTCAAAGGCTTGTCGATCTGTTTCTGAAAAATCAGCCATTGGAAACTCTACGGGCAACAGGTTTACTCTGACACACACAGGGTTGCCATGAGTTGGAATTGACTCCACACACAGCATTTGGTTTGGGTTTTGTTTTCATTTATTTTTATTCTGAAGGGTCTGAGCTCTTGTTAGTCATGTGGCTAGTGTTGCTTCATATTTCTGCTCACAGTTACAGTAATGTAAAGGAATATCATAAGACACGTGGTGTATTCCTCCCTGCCCCCACTGTATAAAAGCAGCCCTACCTCTTCCTGCTGATCAGAGTCAATTACTTCTGCCAAAATGGTGACTCCTTTTCTTGACTGCTGGTCCATGGACACAGTAACAAAGTTGTTGTTATGTGCTGTCGAGTCGGATCCGACTCATAGCGACCCCTCCTTGGGTTTCCGAGGCAGTATTACTACAGAAGTAGATTGCCCAACCTTCCTGCCACATAGCCTGTGCTTTAATGGGACCCCTGTTATGTCCCCAGGCAAGAGTATATACCATTTGCGAACTAGGAGGACCTCTAATCCTCCAGAACCCAGAGTTGTGGGGCTGCAAGTACAAAATCCTGCAGTGGGACCACTCTTGCATCTACCTCTTTGTTCCTGGAACCATGTATTCTTCCTCTTGGGAACATTAAAAAAACTCAGTTCCAACTCCTGTCAACCTTATGTATTACAGAGTAGAACTTCTCCATGGTTTTTTTTTTTTTTTTTTTTGGCTATAATCTTTATGGAAGCAGATTGCCAGGCCTTCTGCAGTGCTCCTGGGTTGGTTTGAACCATCAACCTTGAGGTTAGTAATTGAGTGCAAACCATTTAAGCCAACCAGAAGCCTGCTGGGAACATAACATGTGTAGAGGCCCTTGATTTAATGCACATACCACATCTCAAAAGACAACACTGCATCTTTTCAGAGTGTTCATTTGCGCTTTTAGAAGGTAGTTCTAGAGTTCTGTGAAGCTGGCTGCTGCTGACTGGTACAGTACTTCATACAACCAGTAGATTCCATGGTCATGGGTTTACTCTTTACTCCCACAACTCCTTTGCTGTAAAGTGAATGCCCTGGTTGGCTGTTAGGCTCTAATAGGGACATTCTGTAAGGATAGTGATGCTGGCTCTGCAGGTGGCATGGATGAACCTGTACCTGAGAAATAATCTATCCCTATGTGGGACAAACTGTTGGTCCTCCCAGGAAGGAGAGAGTCCATTGTAGTTTATTAGTGACCTGGTGATGAGTTGGTCTCCTGAGGAATAAAGCCATATTAGGGGCTAAAGTTAGGCAGTTGCTAACAGATAGACAATCAAAGGCAACGTTAACTAGATTGACCTTGGTAAGTGCTATATGGAATCCCTGGGTAGTGTAAACAGTTAACACACTTAGCTGCTTACCAAAAGGTTAGGGGTTCAAGTCCACCCGGAGATGCCTGAAAAGAAATGCCCTGGTGATCTGCTTCTAAAAATCAGTCATTGAAAACCCTATGTAGTGTAGTTCTAGTCTAGCACACAGGAAGTTGCCATGAGTTGAAATTGATAGATGGCAACTGGTTTTTTAAGCACTACATATTATATCATGTGAGTATCCCACCCACCCCCGCTTTTTTCTTTGTTTCTTTCACCCTCTAGATCTGTTCCCCATCCTTCTGACTCTGCTGACTTCTTTGCACTGCATCAATCGAGCTCCCTTGTCCTATAGGTTTGATCAGTGGGAGGTCTCAGCCTTTATCAAAGGCTACCACACCTGTTGAGGAGCGCTCTTTGAATAAGCTTTCCAGCATTCCCATAATAGTTCCCTCCTCTGTTGCTAGCCCTGAGAGTGCTTCTTCAGCAGCCCCTCTTGATTTTCCTTCATTTCTCACTTTGTAAAGTTCCTTATATTCAGACATCTCAGTCATCTTTTGTGAGGATGCCATCTGTCTCCTTTCAGGCCCCCACTGACACAAGTAGTATGTAATATTTTCTTTTTAAAAATGAGTTGTAGACAGTAAACATTTTCACCTTTCCTTAATTCACTTAACACATATTTATTGAACACCAACTATGGGCCAGGTATTATGTTTTTTGAGGAAACAGTGATGAATGAGACAAAGGGTATAGTTAATAAAAAATAATTTCAAATTGATAAATAGCTTGACCCCTGATTAATCCCTTAGAGTGGGATTGAGGGTACAGCTACCTTTGATGGGGCACTTTTATTTGGATATGACAGGAGTTTGTGGAAGAGTTAACTTGTGACCCATTTTAGGATATGAATATTCCTGGTAGGAATTGGGGAGGAAGTAGAGAACCCAGCCTGACTTCCAATCTGTTTTTCCTCACCTTTCCCAACAAGAGTGGCAAATGAACTTCATTCTCTTCTCTGGACCCCAGTTGTGCACCAGAGCTAGCTTGCCAGCCTTAAGGCTTTAAATTTGTAGCAAAATCACAGGATAGGCCAATTGTGATGCACTGTTTTTAGTTGTTATCCAGTGTATTCTGACTCATGGAGACCCCACGTCTGTCATAGAACTGTGCTTCACAGGATGTTCAAGACTGACCTTTTGGAAGCAGGTTGCCAAAGCCTGTCTTCCCACGTGCCCCTGGCTGCCAATCTTTTGGCTAGTCTAGCACTTAGCTGTTTGTACCACCCAGAGACTTTTGTTTGTCCTGCATACCAGATCATTATTTTTTGCCAAGTTGTGTTTCCATTACAGAATTAAAACTGTCAACCAAAGTTGGAGCTCCTTTTTCCCTCTTTTCCATTTATTATGGGCTCAGTTTTCTTAAATAATATCCTTTTCTAGGTCACTAACAATGTCTTACCATTCCTGTTCCCTGCACCATTTCTGGCACATCATAAATGATGAGAGAATAAAGATGCTAAGAGGCCTCTTTTGGCTTGGCGCAGGCTCAACCCAGACTGCGTAGCTAAATGTCAGTGCACAGAGGTCTCTTTCGCCCACTAAGTGGCGCTAAGCCACCATCTGGGAGGGATCCACTAAGTTTTCCATCAGGTTTGAAGTTTTGAACTTATTGTAAAGTGTGTTGTTGTTGTTGTTGTTATGTGCCGTCGAGTCAAACCCGACTCATAGCGACCCCTCCTTGGGTTTCCGAGGCAGTATCACTACGGAAGTAGGATTGCCCAACCTTCCTTCCGAGGAGTGGCAGAAAGGTTAATTCACAAGTTTAGGAGCCTTCTCCCAAGGCATAAATGGTGCTTCAGCCTGAGGTAGGCTGCAGAAGGCGTGCTAAACCACCAGGCGCACCTCAATCCTCTTGGAGTCACAGCGAGAACTCGACTGCGATACTCAGTGGTGCATACGCGAAGTGAGTGCAGCCTCGTGCCGGTGGCCAGGACAGGTCAGGGCAGAGGTGTACTTTGCGCACTGGGTCCCAGACACTGATGATCAGCTCTGAGAAGCCCTCTTCCTTCGTCCCCTGCTCCTCGCTTTGTGCCTTGTGGGGCCAGCGGGCTGCTCCTCCCCTGGGTGGATCCCGGTTCCTTTTCTGGCAGCGTCTATTTGCATAGAGGAAACTACCCAAAGTGGCCGCTGTGGAGGAGCTGACGGCTGAGAAGGGGGTGTGCGCAGTGTTCAGCTGCTGCCCGGAGGCTGAACTCGGCGCCCACCCGCCCTTGTGCCTCAGGCACTTACCATCCCTCCCTGCGAGCTCAGCCCTTGGACCCAGCTTTGCACTACCCCTTTCGAAAAGCCCTAGCTCCTTGACCAGCGCGCCATGGACTCAGGAGAGCGCGGCAGCAATGCGCAGAGCGGCCCTATAGGCAGCAGTGGTGAAGGATGTCCTGCGTCCGTGGTCGGGGCTCGAGTGGTGAGCGCACTGTGCCTGCTGCTCTCCGTGGGCTCAGCAGTCGCCTGCTTGCTTCTGGGCACCCAGGCTGCCGAGCTGCAGAGCCGGGTAGCGGTGCTGGAGCAGGAGCGGGAGCTGCTGCGGCGTGTGAGTCCACCCGGCGCCCTGGCTGCCTGGGCCGAGTCGCACCTGGAGCGCCTGCTGAGCGAGGTGAGGTGCCCTAGTGGGAGGCGCTTGTGTTGCGCTGAGGGGAGTGTGTCTGTCTCCCTGAAGGGGCGCCAGTCCGCACAGCAATCAAGTCCATCAGGCGGCCTGCCGCCTGGGGTAGAGGCTGGTGTGGCAGTCCCCGAGGGAGTCCTGCTGTAACCCAGCGCCCGCTGCTCATTGATTCTGGGCAGCTTTGGGCCTCTGGGCTGGGGGTAATGAGATGGGAGCGTCTTGGGCCCGCTTCAGAATTCCATTCCTGGGTGGGCAGCTGCAGGAAAAGCTAGCGAGAAGGGCTGTTTGGGGACAAGGAGGGAGTGGAAAGACCACAGGCTTTGCAGTAACAGACCCAAGGGTGCGTCTCCACTGGGGTACGACGACGCACTCAGCCAGGCTGTCTCCTGCCTTCAAGAGCGACTATCTCTTCTGTGCCAAGATAATGAAGGGGTTTCTACAGGAATGTGGTGACTCTCTTTACCGGTAGGGGCTAATCTTACTAACATACCTGGAGAGGTGTGGGCTGAAGGCCTGGGCACTGAGAGGGCTCTCAACAGCCTACTGCCTCCACCGCTACCCCTGAAAGTTTGTTTCTGAAGCAGCCCATCCTGGAGATGGGGTGCTCCAGGTGCTGAGACTGTCACATCCAGTGCAGCAGATCCCTAAGAGAATGCCCAGTCAGCTTGGTAGGGGAAAGGGAAAGAAAGACAGCTGGAGACAGAAGACCTGAATTCTGATTTCATGTGGACCTAAGCAGTGTAGACAGCAAATCCTACACTTCCTCACCCTGTATGTGGGGATTGTGATTACCATAGCAGGCTTGTTAGAAGCGATATAGAGTAGACTCTAACACTTCTAAGAGTTAAGATTACTGCTGTGTCTGCAAAACAAACCCTGTGTTTGGACCCTCAAAGCCCATACCCATCATGCTCATCAAAATCTCCACCTTTTGTGCAGCTGCCTCCCTCTGTATAGAACTGGGTGTGCGCAGTGAGTTGGGGGCTGGGACAGTCTGACCAAAGCTTCTCCTGGTGCCATCATCCTCTTCCAAAAAAGGTGATTTCCCAAGATCCCAAGCCCATTGCTCCCTTTGAGTGTCTTTAATTGTGGTATGAAAAGAGAGTGTTTTAGGTAAAGGAAGAGAGCAGGCCTCTTACCACAAATTCCCAAAACTGTAGTGAGCTGTGGTTTTTATTAATTTGTTGAGCTGTGTAGCCTTTGTTGAGTTAGTTTGGAATCTTAAGGGGCATGAGAAAAGAAGACTGAACCACACCTCCTTGCTCACCACTCCTATTTCTTAGTCACTTTAATTTAAGCTATAGTCCCTGAATGATGCAAATGGCTAACACTAATTGAGGCACCTTGGAAGAAAGGCCTGGCAATCTAGTTCTGAAAAATAAGCTATTGAAAACTCTGTGGGGCACAGTTCTACTCTGACACACATGGAATGGCCATGAGTTAGAGTTGACTCAACAGCAACTAGTTTTTAAATTTAAACCAGCATTACATCTCTTCTAGCTTCTGGGGAAAATTGCTGCTTCATGAAATGATTTCCTATCTTCCCCTTGAAATTACCTGCAGGATTCAGAAATCTCTCCCAAGCCTGTGGACAACTCCTGGTGATGGTTTCATAATTGCTACCTTTTATCTTTTGGCACATCCCTAAAGACCAGTGTGTTGAATTGATTTATGGATAGTCAGTTAAAGAACTGTGGCTGTTCTTTTCTAATAGAGGGGGCCTTTCTTATTCTTAGTAAAAATAAACCCTAATTAAGTGACTAAGAAATCCCAATAAAACCTTTTACAAGGAGCTTACAAATTGTGTCAATTCTAATAAGGTAGGGTCCTTGGACGACATGAGCTGTTGATTCTCAAGTCCTGAACTGCAGCTGGGAGAGAGTTTCCATTCATCACACTTCTTCCTGTAGCACTGTTTTACTTCAACAAACTATAGTGCTTCAACAATGAGTTATTAGACAAAGTTTCTCTCTCTTATTCTCTGTCTCTTGATTAGAAAAGCAAAGGAAGAATTTAGAATCTTGAGATTTCCACTTGAAAATTTGCTGTGCCATTCAGCAGGGTGGTGTTAACACAGGGCACGTCACACTACAGTAAGCAACCAGAGCCCAGTGTTTGAGGAATACATTCGGCTTTGGAGTCCAAACTCTCCAATTTTCACCGCCAGTGAAAACTCAAAGATGGCATGGTATAAATGCAGTTGGAGTGGAGCTTCTAGTTGCTGGATGTCCCCCATGAGGACACATCATTGTCCCAGAGCAGCAGTTGGTTCCTGCTACTGTTTGTTCTTTATATTCTCATAAATGGATGGGAAATATACACAGCCTGACAGTGACATTGAGAGTCCTTGGCCAAGTGAGGGAATTGATTATGGGAGGCAAATAATGGAAAACCAGTAACTGGCTTTAAGTAGGTGTGTAGATACTTTTTTGGACCATTAGATATGATGGACAAATAAATATTGAGCTGATAATCTATTAAATGTAAAGAACACTTGTATTTGAAAGGTAGGCTTTTCAATTCTTTTTCCAGTGAAGCCTTTTTTAAGCCAGTGCTGAAGTAGTTGTTTATACGAGAGGGTCACAGCTTGTCCTTTTACTAACAAACTTCTTTTCAGAATATCAGAGGCAGAAACCATGTTCAAATTAAAGAAATTCTTGCAAACCACACCAACTTTAATTTGAGAGAAAAATTTTTTAAAATAAGCCAACAAAAGCCACTGTTAATATGGGACCCACTCTCTTTGTTCCCTTGGGAAAAGAACTGTGAAATAACTTTCTGGGACTGGCTGATGTCCCTGATAACATAGATACTGAAACTACAAAAAAAGGAATATTCATTCATATTATGATTATTAAAGACCCTTCCTATGGTGCAAAGTGGAAGAAATGGTTTTCAGAATATAAAACAAAATTTTTCTGAGCATGAGAGATTACAATAGTACCTTCAGTGTGTTTCAGAAATAGAAATGCAAAATAAGCATTTGATGTTTTGATTTTAAAGTGCCTTAAATAGGTTATCTAAATAATCAAACCTCCCCCAAAAGTAGTTATAGCTATAGTTACAGTGTTACGAAAACTTAAATTTAGAGTGCATAACTTTCATACTACAGTAGAAAATATAATGCAAGGATTAAAGAAATATTTAGCTGTATTCAAAGGAGACCATTTCCAGCTTACAATGAATTTATTGTTGGCTGTTGGACTTCCATTGTCCAAACCAATCAGTATGAAAACAAGCCCAGAGACTAAGGGTAAAATCCAAGCACTTTCCTTCTCTGCCATCATATGTATATATATGTTAAATTAGAGTAAAACCCAGAATCGAATGTAATTTTTCGGCCCCTAAGGCAATCTGTCACTTGTCATGAATGCTCTATTGTGCACTTTTAATAAAGATGCCTATTTCTGAATCCCATGGCACAACTGGAGATGGAGTGTAAATCATAGTTACATTTGTTTCCTTGACATTTCCTGGCTCCCAAACCAAAAAAATACTTCTTTCAATTACTTCCTGGCACGCTTACTTTCTCTCTTCTTCTTTTTTTCCCTGACACTTCGAGAAAGCTTTATAATAATAGCAGCATGTTAGAATGAGCCAACTGACAAGGCATTCCTTTCACAAACATTTTGGAATTGTTGAATCAGACTTTGAAGACTTGGAGTTAGGGAATCAGCAAACTGAATGACATTATACCAGGAGACAGAGCAGGCTAGATGAAGCATGGGGTTACTTGGTGGGAGAGCTTGAAACCGCTATGTCATTTAACGTCTCTGAGCCTCAACTCCCTCTTTTATGATATGGGGGATATACCTACCTTATAAGGTATAGTGATGAGCAAATAAGGTAATGTACAGGAAAGTATTAGTAAGTGCTTTTGACAGCAAGTAACAGAATACCTGATTAAACCGTACACTCATTGAATTGTCTTGTGTAATGAGAGAAGCCTGGAAGTTGGCAGATCCTGGATTAATTCCATGACTTGGACATGACTGATAAGGCACTCTCATGGCACCACACCTAAGGCATTTGTCTGCAAATCAGAAGGTTGGTGGTTCAAACCCACCAGCCACTCCATGGAAGGAAAACTGAGCAATCTACTTCTGTAAAGATTTACCACCAAAGAAACCCAATGGGGGTCGCCATGAGTCAGAATCTACTTGATGGCAGTGGTTTGGGGTTTTTTGGTGTGGGGTACTGGTCAATGTTTCTGTCATTCTCTGGGTCTTTTCTGATGGTTGCAATGGCTGCTGCAGCTTCAATTACGTGTCTTCACATAAGAGTAGCCAAGGTAGAAGAGTGTAGGAGAAGAATCATCTTCTTGAGAAACTTAATTCTTTTTTTTTTAAAAATTATTGCACTAAAATATATATAACATAAAATTTCCCAGTTTAACTATTTTTAAGTGTATAATTCAGTGACATTAATTACATTCATCATGCTGTATAACCATCACCAGAGATTCTTTCTCTTTTGTTTCAATCATGTGGGAAAACATTTCCCGCAACCCTCAGCAGACTTCCCCTAGTTTTCACCAGCCAGAACTGGGTCATGGGACCACCGTTAGAACTGTCACTGGCAAAGGGAATGGGGTTACCCCACTAGGCTTTGGCAAATCTTGATTCATTCCCTGAGGCTGGGCACGTTGCCACTGGAACAAAATTGAGGCTTTGTTATAAAGGAAGACTGGGAATGACTGTTGGGGAGAAACCAACGTTTGTCAAGTGCCATAGACTATTACTGAGGTTTCCCCAGAGGAGAGTGGGGAGAATCTATCTACTGGCCTGCCACAATTTTCATAATTAGACCCTCCTTCACTTCAGCATTTTCCTAGTTCCACACTTTGGTAATGCTATTCAACCACAAAATTTCTGTTTCCCTCTTTGTGGGGCTCCTGCTCTCCAACTCTGCCTCCAGTCTTAGTCTAAGAAAAAGTTGGTGGGTTTGAGATTCTGTCTGGTACATTTCCATTCTTTGCAGTTAGTGGTCTT